CACACACACACACACACACACACACACAGAGAGACATACTGGCGGTCGCGCGCACGTTACCTGTTCAAGGTGGGCGCTAAAAAAGATTAGGGATGGCCTTTCTTCACAGCCGCGCGCATTGCGCTCTCTAAAATGGGTTCGGAGGGCCCGCAGGGTCTTCTGCTTAAGTCCGTCGGGTAGCGAGGGCCGCCAATGGGGATATGGAGTTCAAGTCCAACTCAAACTCCAGCTCCAACTACAACTTCGACTCTGCAAACGTGCTTGTGATATCTTATATACTCACCTTCACTACCCTCCTCCAGCTCACTATCCCGCGCAATGGCAGACGCGATATCCTGCTTCCATCGCGCCGCGCTCGTCAAGAGTAGGAGTTGAAACAGAGGCACCGCAAGACGAGGACAAAGGAAGATGACAGCCCTGACGCCTCTTGCCACCCACGCGCTCTCACTCTCCCCCTCCTCTTGCCGCTCGGTGCTATCTGCTGCCCGTGAACGGTTGTTACTCGTCGACTACCGTAGTCGAGGCGGGAGCGACAAATCGTGCGCAGCGGGCACCATACATCGGCCGCGCTCGACCCTCCCGCTCCAATTTTTCGGTCACATGAGGGCATACGCACACCCCAATGTCTCGCAATCTCGCAAATTTGCCAGTTTGGTGGCCGGGCAAACACTGCCTGGGTGGAATGAGCAGTCGCACCGTGCCTGGGTTCTGGTTCCAGGAGGACGAAGTGCGGACGCAAGACAAGGTTCTCCGTAGACTGGTTCACACCCCAGCCTTCATTTTTCGGGGTTGGCCGTTGGTAGTACTGGGTTGGGGGCATCTATTCCCAGGGTGGCGTTCTCGTATTTTAGGGTGCCTACCGCCAAATGGGGCTTGAGGAGTTTGTCTACGTTTGGCAACTGGTCAGGGTTCGTGCAAATTGTGAGACTACCGGTGTCAATCTGTGAAAAAATTGTGACCATTTCTCGATTTATGCGTGTCATCCTTGCGCAGGGGCCATGCTAATCTTCTCTGTATCCTTCCAATTTTAAACCACCAGTACACCCGCACCTAAAATTGTATCCTTCCAATTTTAAACCACCAGTACACCCGCACTTAAAATCAATGGGAAGGGTCAATGCTATCAATGGAAAGCCAAGCTACTGTAAGTTCTGGAATAAGAAGTCAAGGGCATGAAGTGGGTGATGTAAAAATATTAAGTATAGACTGCGTTTGTCTGACACTTAGAACCACTGCATATGTCTAACGCGTATATACTTGTGCTAAAGTAGACGAAAATAATGGGTGATTAGGCAAAGGCGTTATAACCCGTATATACTTATGCTAAAGCAGACGAAAAACACCCTCAGTTGACTCACCTCCAATACGGTAAGTAAAACCCATCACATGTAGGTCAACAGCTCAGCAGGGATACGCCAACCTAAAGCTAATGAGAACTCCTTGGATGAAGGTAAATAGTGTTTCGTGAAACCTTGTTCTTTTGTAAGGGAAAATCATAGGTATGAGATTTGAGGTTCGCTCGGGCGAGGACGAGGGGTATTTCAGACCACCTCATAGGGAAAGGACATGCGCCTACTCACGGAAGAGCCTTAAGTTCTTAACGCCTCACGTTAAGGGGAGTTGCCATAGCATACCCCCTAGTGGTCGTTAGGGGTCACTCGTGCATGGAGCATTGAGCCACAAGAAGCTCAATTCATGGTTACTAGTTGGAACAGAGTGCGGCTCGACACTCTTGTCATGGTTGGCCTCGCCACAAGAAGTGAGGACCAATGTGGTCGATGTAGTGCGCAAGGCTTGGATAGTTAGAGCCCGAGAACAACCTTTTTTCAGTAGGGTCAACGAGGGTCAGGAGGACAAAGCAACCAACAAAATTTGAAAGTGGATCCTCGTTTTTAATGGGGCATCCAGTTTTCGGTTGTTCAAGTCGAGTACTGACTTGTATAGTGGTAGCTGGATTACTTGTAGATGGCATTCACACCAAAGCTAGAGTGAAAGTGTAGTCATCACTAGAGCGATACCACCTTAACTTCGCTTGGAAGTTGGGATGTCAACATTTATTTGTTAACAGTCAGTGTGGGCTAGAATGAAAGAACTTGGCAACGCATCTCATCAAGTCGAAAAGTCGTGTCAATCCAGCCATTTGGCAGGCAGAGTGAAAATATTTTGATCATACGTCGTTTGAGCGTCGCTATGCGTGTAAGTCATGTTTTTACCCTTTTGTTGATGAGTGACGTCCGAAGACGAGTCAACTCACGCTGTCTCGTCGTTGGATGAAAGTCAAGTCAACCTTTGTTGATTTGATCTGAACGAGTGGTATGCATGATTGTATCGATTTTAAAGGATAAGTCAACTTACATTGACCTGAGTCTTCTTTATTTGAAAGTGTTTTGTCCGAGTAACTCTTGATTGTCTTTGAAAGAAGGGACTAGGATTGATTGATATTTTCTCACGCTTGGAATATCTCGTCCTAGTCGACCGACGTACATTCTGATTCCTAGGAGATCAGCGCCCCAGGGATGGACGACGTTCGGGTTCACTTTGGCGTTTAACCATGCGTACTTATGCTATAGTGAACGAGAAAATGCCCTCGGTCGGCCTACCTCTGCAATTGCATTATAAAAGTCTTCGCATGTGGGTCGGTAGCTCGGCGGGGATACGCGCCTAAGGGTGGTGACAACCCCTTAGGGAAGGTAAGTTGCGCCCCGCAAGAACCTATCCTGTCGTAGGGGACCGCGGGATGTACAGTTGGCGCACTCGGCCGGAGCGACGAAGGGTTGACGCGGCTTACCGTGTCGTCCCCGAGTTGTCTCTAAAAAGTTGAAAACCTAAGTTTCTCATGCGTGACGCGGCCGGGAGGGCCCTCGCTCGTGCGGAGGCCGATGCGCTCGACAACGCGACATTTGCCAGATGTATATTGCTTCGAAACGTGGAGAAATCAACGCATAGACGCAAAATTCCGGTTGTGCAAACGGAGCCTCGTCATGTGTCCTCCACCCGGAGGGGCCGTGCAACAACTTCCTTAGCCACAACATCCGTCCTTCTTCGATCGTATTCACCAGTAGGAGTCTCATTTCACACTCGATTTCCTTCCTTCGTTTGCGGTGCCCATGACCCCTTGACGGATCGTGGCTCAGCTCCTTGAATCGCTTTCACGTGTACGACGAGTACTGGTGGTCTTCATCATTCATCATCCTTGTTCCCTTGGGCCTCTGGATTGATGTGCTCGGAGATTCGGATTGGTGCTGCTTCCCATTCTTTTTCCATATGCGATAACTGTTCTCGCTTCGGTCAATGCGTCGACGAGATCCTCCTTTCGATTGCTCTTCGCTTTCACTTTTTCATCTTTCGCCATCTTAGTAAAAAAAGACACATTCTTCGTTCTCAAGAACCGTTTTGTGTCATCTACGTACTTCTTCCTTCCTTGTTCTCCTGGTTCTGCGACTACTGTTTTTTTCCCAGGTATAAGTCTGTCGAATCCAAGCGGTTCCCGGATCTCCTCGCCATCGCTTCCGCTTCGCATAACTCGTGATATCATCGCTGCGCGTCGGATCGGATTTGGTGTCGTTTTGGCAAACAGCTCGTTGGGACCGACTGTCCAGATTCTTGTCATGGGGGTCCTTCCCACCCCTCTCGACATTGATGGCGTATCCAGGGCGGACGTGTTCATTTGCGACGCTTGAGCCACCTGGAGTTTCTTGATCTGGGCTCTCATTGCCTTCATCTCTTCGTGGTACTTCATTTGCATTTCCAACATCTTTTGTGCAAGCCTTGCTTCGCGCTCTGGTGTCTTCAAGTTCTGTAGCTTGTTTGCTGGTGATTTATTATCGGTTCCTTCGTCAATGCACGGTTCCTTGGCTCGTTTCTTCCGACCGTGTTCTAGTTTGACCTCGTGTAGCAGTAGTAGATCTCGACGCATGTCTTCAACCATGATGATCATCGAATTTTTTACAGTTCCCCCCTTCATTTCATCAGTAGCTTGTTTCAACAGTTTGTTCTGCTCCGCCATCTGTTCGACGATGACTTGGTACCCTTGGTCCTTGTTTCCTAACTTCGAGCCGATGAGCAGAGCCAACCTTGCATCTCGCTCCTCAGTTCGTCGATGCTTCTCTTGTTCGCGTTTCTCTCTCTCTTCTCCCAATACTCTTTGTTCTCCCTCTTGCTTTCTTCGTTCCTCCTCTTCTTCGCGTTTCTCCTTTTCTTCTATTTTCTCGTGCAAAACTGTCGCGCAAAACTCTCGCATCACTAGTATTGCGTCTGCTATGTCCTTGTTCGATGTCAGATTGTTGTAGTTATTGTTGTAGTTGTTCTTGTAGCTGTGGCTGCCGCCATAGCCGCCGCCGCCGTGGCCGCCTTGGTATTTGTTTCGCTCAGTTGTCTGGATTGCGCCCGGTCCACTTGCCAGGACAATCTGTCAGTCGATGTTGCTCGTTGTTGTAGGCATCGTGCTCTGTCCTCCGCCATTATCACCTCGAGGCCTACAAGGTTTGATGCAACCTCCGGGCCAGATGTCCAGGTTCACCGCAGTTATAGCACCCCGGTACCTGGTTCTCCACCATGTTGCCCATCGTAGTGTACATACACACCTTCAACAAGTGTAATTCCCTGTCCGATTAGTACGCTCGCAAATGTTAGAATAGACGAGTTCTACGCAGTCATACGCTTATGCATGCGAGGTTCGTAACGTTGGGTTGTCAACACTCTACTAGCGGAACATCGATCAATCCTTCGACAGTCAATCCGATACATAATTCGTTAGTTCTGTTTCCCTTCGTACGAGCATAAGCATCATCCGTTTGTCGCCACTCCACACACACGGCACATATTTTTGTTGTTGTCAACACATGGATCACCCGTTCAATAGTCAATCCGAGACATAATTCGTTAGTTATCTCCCCCTTCGTACGAGCATTCACATAACATTCATTCATCATTACTCAAGCATAATCCATTCGTCGCCACTTCACACACACACTTACTTATGCACGACCCAATACTTATGTACGACTCAATACGACGCGACTGGAAGTAGTGACCGAGATAGGTGACAAACAAACTGCCGAAAGAATTAATCGAGAGAATGACATCGTGAACTCCAGTGATCCAGTGAAACCCGAATGGTCTCATGAAGCTCTTGGTTGATGCGCTAAGTAGCGTCCCACCTATTGCATCCTGCCGACTCTGTTGCAGGAAGACGTGAAAGGGAGAAATGCTTTTCTCTGTCCTTGTTGGCCTCGTCATCATCATCAACTGGAGTGACAACCTTCAAATTATCTACTTTACCAAAGCACACTTTGTGGGACACGACTGCAACAGCGGACTATTGCCAGAAGACTATATCGTCATCATCATCCCCAGTTCTTTTTCGACTTGTCCCTGATTACTATTCTTGAGACTCTGACCCGTGAGAGCGACATCAATTGGAGATGGAATGTTTTTGTGTGATTGTGATTTCAGAGCTCACTATATGCGAGTGTGACAAAACCTTAGAGACAGGTTGTGACGGTGCATCGCAGCTCTTTTCGAAGTCACAGAGGGGCGTGCACTTTTCTCCCTTTGGTGTTATCTCCTCCTCCTCTGTGGCGGACCCGCCGTGATGGCGGTCCGACAGGATGGAGACGAAGGGGTAGAGGGAGGAGGAAGTGGAGATGGAGCTGGAAGGGACAGCGCAGCTCCGACGCAGACTCAACACTGCACGTACTCCAACAAGTGCAAAAATGATGAATGACGAAAAACAGACAACAGCTGGGGTATACCCCCAGCGGACTGACTGACTGGACTGGACTGGCCTGGTACCGACAGTGGTACCGGGCAGGACTGGAACAGCACAGGGCCTGTGGGGTGAGGCCACGACCTGGTCCCACAGGCCGAACTGGCATCTAGCCAAATAGGCCCTGGCTGTAGGCCAGGGCAGATTGAGGCCCGCTGCATCCTCCCTCTTCTCCTTCTCACGCTCTTCCTGATACTTGTTCCTCCCCTCTTTCTTCGACCGGGGGTTGCTCTTTCGCCTTCATTCTATCCTTGTCTCCCTCCCCGTCCACGTCTTTATCCTCACCCTTCTACTCCTCCTTGTCCTCTGGCAGTGCACTTCATGTCTTCTATTGGTGGGAAGGGAGAGGTTGCATCAAGGAGGAAGTGTAGGAGGGAGGGCAAAGGGAAGCATTGGGTTCAAAACGAGTGAGGGGTGGAGGGAAGAGAGAGGGGAGAGAAAAGGGGAAGAGAAAATACTTGCAGTGGATGGGTAGGGATCAGACTGTGGAACGTTAGGTATGCAGGGGGGTGCAGAGAGGAGAAGGAGAGGGGAGATGAATGTCGTTCATGACAGGTATTTAGAGTAACAGTATAGTCTGGGTTTGGCATGCTTATGTAGGTAGTTTATTTAGTAAAAAGGATTTTCAGATTTTCTTTAAGTTTGACATCAAATGAATCACTGCCGTGAAATGAATCTGTTCTTCAGTTTGGCCCGACTGCTCCCTCAGGCCGAAGCTGGGTGATAGCCTCAGGAATCAGGATCATCTTTGTACTCCATGTTTTAATCGAAACCTCGGGCACCGGGCCCCTCGTTAAGAAAAAAAGCAGAAACAAAAGTTAGCATCAGAGATTTCTAAATCTCTTATCCTTTAAACTTCAACATCAAAATGTCCCGGTGTCCCACCCAAACCATCTTTTTTTTCTCATCGCCATTTTTCCTTTCTGAGAAGAATTACCTGCACAGCCTTTTGACACACACCACACACACACACACACACACACACACACACACACCTGTCTCTTATACACATCTAGATGTGTATAAGAGACAGATCTTCCTGTGATTTTGAAGCTTTTCCCCACCCGCATTTCCCATTTTCTCCTGCTCATTGACACGTTCCCCACTGCCCTTCCGTCCCCCCCCTCCNAGAGAGAGAGAGAGAGAGAGAGAGAGAGAGAGAGAGAGAGAGAGAGAGAGAGATTGTTTTATTAAAGATACCGCACCCGTTTAGGAGGGCATTCACCTGCCTCAAGTAGGGAGTGGAAGTGGGTTTGTCAAATTGAAGTACGGATCCGGTCCTCATATCTGTATTTATCCTTGAATTTGAGGCACCCAAGGATTGATCAATTCCTCAAGGATGGATCTGTTCCCCGAGGTTTGTCAAATTCAAGAATTGATCTGTTCCTCAAGGACTGATCTGGCGAACTCAAAGAATTGGCCAGCCCACTCATGGCTGATGAGATTCTCCCCCATCAGTGCCTGCCACTACTTCCATCACAAAATGACCCTGGGCCTGGCCTCCAGGGGCCCATTCCAAAACGGCACGAGAGTACAAGCCTGCTGCTGACATTACAACAATGGGATGACAAGCTAAACCACAAGTATGTATGCCAGCCAAAGAATAAAACATCCGGCTTGGATGCAGCCGCAACTTCCGGGGCTCGGGCCCCGGAGAAAAATGGCTGGCGGTGCCAGCCAAAAGGAGGCCCGGAGAAAAGTACCTCGGAAGTACTGGTGCGCTAATCAAGTCCACATTCGGACATGAGTGGCACATTGCCGCTCCTTTCTTAATTGCAGGTTTCACTGTGTGTCTGTTGGTTTTTCTTTGTCTGCCTCGCTGGTCCCTATGTCGCAATTATTTCTTTCCCAACATGTGCCATTCGTGCGACTTGGCGATAGGTACAGCGACAGTCTCTCTTCGACCACCCACAAATTTAGAGAGAAGAAGGTCCTGGTTCAAGTATGCCCTCAAGGTATTGGATATGGTTGCTCAGGTGAGCACCTGTGAATGCATAAAGAGCTAATCAAGGCCACATTCGGTTGTCGGTGGCACACTGGAGTTCCTTAGTTTCACAAAGTCTGCTGCTTCCTAGAGAAGAAGGTGCTGGTTTGAGTACGCCATCAACTTATTGGAACTGGTTCGCCTTCGTAAAATGCATAAAGGGCTCACCGGTGGGAAATTGGAGTCCCTTCTTCTTTTTTTTTTGAACTTTGAGTCGCGGATACCACTTCGGGAGGTGGTAAGAGCAACCTCCCTAAGTGGGTCTTCGGTTGAAGGCTCCATCTATTGGTGAGGAGTTGCACCTGCTGGAAACTTGGTCCAGCGTCCCTTGAATTACAAGACATATCAATGACTGACAATTTTTTGAACAACTGACATATATCAGCAGAGTTCGCTGTCCTTCCTGTTGCCTGTCCCCCCGAGGCGTGGTGAGGGCAGGTGTACCCGACTTGAGCTGGTAGGGCTTTTTGGGCCCTTCGTATTTACCGGTGGCAGGGAGTAGTGAGTCGGTGCCGGCTGCAGCTGTAGGGAGTCTTTGCAGAGTGAAAGGTGAACTTTTTCCCTCCGTTGGCCCCTGTACCAAGGGGAGTGTGGCCAAGATTCCCATCTGCTATCATGTAGTCATAGTCTTCCGTCTTCATCTTGGGCGCCTTTCGACCTTCCGCTGTCATCCTTGTATGCACTCACACAACCCCGTGTTTCTTGGTCACATCTTCTGTAGTGCTGCTGTTGTTTGTCTGTCCCCCTTGGCTTGTAGATTTGAGCTGGAGTCGCCAGGCCCATGCTGGAGGGGTGAAACCCGAGGTGAACACCAATAAGGGGCAGAGGGTAGCGGAGGGGTGAGCGGGGGGGAGTCCGGGGTTAGGGGGGTTGACAAGGGT